CAGTTTCTCCAGTACCGCCGTTCGAGCTCCTTGCAGAAGTCGGCAGTATAGCTCGAAGAGGAGGTTTTAGGAGGCAGCCATGCTGTGTGAGGATCAAAAGACTGCAGGAACTCGCGGTCTTTGGCAGCGCGCTCGGCCATCATAGCTTCACGAGCCTCGCGCGTTTGCGGTGCGCGCTTGCCTTTAGACTTTGGCTTCGCATCTCCCTCCTCTCCCTCTCGACCAGCGATCGACTGCTTCGCATCGTCGTCCTCGTCTTCCTCCTCTTCCTCTTCAGCTGACGGATGTCGCGACTTGGATGGATGCGCTGCGTCTGCTGAAGACGATGCTTGCTCACCGGGACGAGTCGTGCTCTGGTCATGCTCCGAGTGGTCCTCGCCGCGCTCTGGCGGAGAGAGCGTGCGATTGCTGTTGGGCGGGGAGATGAGTGCCTTTGCGGCCTCTTCTGGGCCGATGTCCTCGTCCTCATGCTTGATAGCGAGGGGAGCATCCTCATTCATCGGCTCGGGCTCGGCAGTGTCTGATTGCCTGTTCTTCCGCCCTCTCCTGGTCCTCGTCCGTGCACTTCCGTTCGCGGCGCGCGCATGCAACCCAACCTCGTCGACAGCGGGGGCGCGCAGCTCCTCCTTTGCGCACATCTCAGCCCACTCGCGCACGCTCATCACGCGCCGCTTCTCGATGTTCTGCTGCTGGAAGAGACCGGCCTGTCCGATCATGTGCTGCTCGATTGGATTCTTCAACTTGATCTTGTCAAGCTGGGGGACAACGGAGGGCAACGCATCCGTCCTATATACAAAGTGGGGGCCGACTTAGTGGGTCGCGACGGTCGTACAGGGACAGGCAACTGACCACTCCTTTGGCGGAATGATCTTCACTATACCGCTGCGCATGCCCCACGGTTCCACCTTGTTCATATAGCCCTCAAAGTCCACGAACTCGTCCATCGTCGGCTTGAACACAGGGATGCCGCGCTGAGCGAGAGGGTCGTCTGCAGGGTCTAGCCACGTCCTTCCGTCTGAACTTGGGGAGGGGGGCAGGTGTATATCTTCGTTGCCATAGAAGTGGTCCGGTTGCACTGGTGGTTCGGGCGTTGGGGAGCGAGAGGGACTCGGGGAGGGAGTGTGGCTTGTTGCGGACATGATTGAGGATGAGGTGCCTGGGGCGACGCCTGCGGTCGGTCCAGACGACGTTGCGGCTAAGGGAGACTACGGACGGATACAATAAAGATATGGGTAGCGTCGCCCCTGCCTGCAGACGTTGTCGTCGTCGTCGTCGTCGTCGATGAGGAGAGTGGGATAGTGTGCCGGGATTTGTGTCTGGAGTGGTTGTGCTGAGCATCTCCCACCCGTCGCCTTCCGAGAAAGGCAGGCCGCTGATGTAAGCATCCCTTTACGGCAATCCAGACATACCGGGATGCCTCTTTCGACTTGGAACACGACCTGCATCGCTGGAACAAACGGCGAGAACAGCCTACGCCCAGCGCGACTTGCCCAGAACCTCGTCTCGAATGCGAATCGCGCATTCATCGAGAGGCTATCCGAGACAATGTCTGACGACTGCGAGTGGCCGACTCCGAGCCCCGCAACTCCTCATAAACGCGTCGAAAGATGGTACTCACAGGATTAAGGTGGTATGCATCTGTTCTCTTACAAGCAATTGACGGCACACGAGAAAGTCACAGGGGCGCGACCACACAATTACATTCATACAACATGGCATGGCACAGCAGGGTACAGCACAGACAAGGAGCGACAATCCGTATCATCGACAAGAGCTACAAGACAAGAGCGAAAGGACCTAAGCTTAGCAGGTCATAAGCGAGTAGAGGGTAAGAAAGGCAAAGCTTCTGAGACACAACCGCTGTCCACGGCTCCCCACATCGCTACGAGCTCCTCGGTGTCGAAGGTCGCGAGCCCGCTCTCCCTGCTCCTCGCGCGTAACTGTTGCGATACGGTGGCGGAAGCTCCTCGACTATCCCCCCATCTCTGTGTTGGATTATGATATCCGGTCCAGACTCTGGGATCGCTACCACCGGTGGCAGTCGTAGCGACGAATTCGCCCGCCTGGGGAGCGGTCGTGCAGGGAACAGACGTACCGCCGCCGCCGACTGCGCGCGCCGCACTACCGGAGGGCGTGACGAAGATATTCCTGGCCCCACATGTGCGACTTGACTGGGTCTCCGGTTGGAACCCGAACCCGCCTGAGCCTGAAGCCGCGCGCGATTGGCCTGTGCCTCGGCGAACGCTTCGACTGCCTTGCGATATCGCGCCTCCGGAGAGAGGGTAGCTGCCGGAGATGTTGAGTTCGGCGTCGTCGCGAAGGCATCTGGAAGTCTAAAGGGTGACTTGGCAATCGATGCGGCCCGGGGTAGAGTGGGCGGGGTCATGTATGGAGTCGGGATAGCGTCCCGCAGTTCGGCCGCGGTCATGTCTATCGAGGTTGGACTGTCCGTACGGCGTATGGAGTACTCGCTCGCGTCTACGGCCCATGACGGCGTCCTCTGGGTCTGGCTGTCGATCCTTAGCACGTTTGACACCTGCGACATGTCGAGGTTCAAGCTCGGCCGGACAGCGCTCTCCTGGTGTTCGACGTCCGGGGATCCGGGTTGTGCAGCCTGGCTAGGACCCGTCTCCTGCGATTGATTCCGTCTTCGGCGACGCCACCACCAGATACCGACTGCACCGCCGATCAGGATCGGTACTACGACGCCGAACACGACGCCGAGAGCAACAGTCTTCGCGTGTGCTTTCGCGGCCGAGGCCCGTGCAGCGGCATCTGCTGCTGCTGCTTGCATCTCGACTTGAGCTTTGGTCAAGGACACGGAATTCAAGCCTGTACAGCTCGTGTCTGTAGAACCTGCCGTCTGGACGAGTACGGTAGATACTCCCCACTGACCGGTCCTGCATAAGAGAATTACAGTTGGTCAGCATTAAACGGTTGCGATTCGTCACATTATACTGACGAGTCCATAACCGCCGCTGTGGGTTGCCGTGAGATAAGTAACGCATATCGCTGAGCGGGCCCATTTACGCACCCATCAAACGTTGGTTTGGATCTGCACGATCAATGAACGTGAACACGTCGTCCTCAGGACCCATCGTGACGTTGGTGATCACCCCAGAAGCCGTTTGTCCGAACGTCACATAGTACGGCTTGACTCCTCCGGTGACGGTGAGCCCCCACGGCTGGCAGGTTTTCAGCTCCGTAGTGACGTTAGGAGTAATGCGAGGCGTCGAGGACGTCGGGGCCGGAATTAGACATGAGGTATCACTGCCCGCTTGTGTGATGCGGCAAAGTCAACATGGGTTGCGAAGGCGAGCAGGGGTCTCACGCACCGATGACTTCTGTAGACTGGACCGGAAAGCCACCTGTGTTGCCGGCGGAATCTATGACGGTGAGCAGGAGGCTCGCGCCTGAGGTGACGTTGACATCCTCACGTCGTCTTCGAGAAAGGCGTATGGAACATACCTCGGCGATGGTTGTTCTGCCAGACCAAACTTGTAGGATCACTCCCGATGGGTGTAACCGTGGTAATGCCTCCAGCTTCTAACACGAGCATGCTGTACGGCGGCACACCGACGAAAGAGGTAGACGCGTTCAGTGATTGAAGTTCGATAGTGTTCCTCTGACATTCGGGTACGTTCTGTGAGAAGAACTGCAATAGGTGGTCAGGACGTAGCAGTTCTGCGAGCTGAGCGGGTCTTGAGATCTTACATTCGTGAACTTCCAGTTGAACCCATGGTTGCTGTTCTGCGCCTGGCACTGCAGCACAACGAAAGGGAGAATCGAGAGAAGGACCGGCAATATTCGCCCCAGCGAATCCATTGTGTGGTGCTTGGAACCCCCAAAAAGACAGTGGTCGACACGTCGGCCCCAAGAAGAAAACCGAGGAGTGAAGGAGAAGAAGAGGAAAGGTCAACGCCCAGCGTCAGAACATGGGGGTGGACAACAAGCAAGACGACCGGAGCAAGGAGAGGCTCGAGGTGGGAGGAGGGAAGCGGATGCCGTATCGCCAGGAACAGGGCGGCTAGCTGTGGTCGGCTAGAGAACAACAAGGTCGCATCTCGGTGATGAGGAGAAGACTCACGATTGGGTATGCGGAGCGGGGTGTCATCATAGCCGTGGCTGTTCTCGGACATGGGAGTAATGAAACCTCGCCATTGGTCTATCACAGGGGCGCATATCCCCCACTTGGACTAGAGGAAGCCTGGCAAGGCTCCTTGGTACAAACCAGCGCCTGAGAAGGAGAGCGGTGCGGACCAGGATCCTACACGACCGGTCGAATCAGCTACTCGTCCGATGCACATTCTATACATCATCGTTTGGCGAGTCGACGAATGGTCATGACGGGCTCGAGGGACGAGCGATGCGAAGGCCGTCCGACAGGCACGGCGAAACGAACAGTGAGGGCGGGTAGCAACGGTGGCGATGGGAGCAATATTGAATGATTGCAGGCTGATCATTCGCATACATAATTGCGCGCTTCTCCCGCTCTTGACTGCCTCTAGTCGCGGATTCCAGCGGCATAAGCACTACGATGAAAGCAAATAGTCAGAACGGCACCTATGTATGGAGAGAGCATTGAACAACTCCTGATGTTGTACGCGTATTGCGCGCGACTGTGCGGGCTACCGAGGACAGCGCTGCGCAGGTCGGAGCCGATTTGGCTGTGCACAAACGCAGATGGGAGATTATGGGAGATCCCATCAATGCTGTGACACCGGGAGTCGAGCTCTGGTGTGGAAAATGGCTTCTACCAGCCACGATTATTCGTGAGCGGTGAGAGTTGAGAAGTCACGTAAGTACATTATGTATGTACTGGAGTAAAGTCGGAGGCCTGGCGCGCGGTTTGCGAAGATGTTTCTACCTGTTTGTTCCCCGCCGAGACATACTGTACCGCTTTGCTGCCACCGTCTCGACGTGGCTTGCACACTTTCCTCGCCGCCGTTCCGACACAAAAGCTGCGCCGAATACCTCGGAACTTGTTGCCATAAAAAACACGACCAACGTGGGAGTCGAACCCAGAATCTTCAGCTATCGCTCATACCGGAAACTGACACCTTGACCATTAGGCCAGTCGGCCTTACCAAGGTAGCAAATGCTCATTTACAGCACCAACATGCAAAACATTCCCTGATTCCAGGACCGCTCTCGTGTAGTAATAGTAGTATGTCCTGACAGTGACATGTTTGTGAGTCTGGATCGTTGGTAGGGGGAGGGCCGGACCACTTGCAAAGAACAACACATTTGTTGCTCGTGTCGGGGGTCGAGGAATGAGGGAATGTTCGCCGTGCGACGAACTCCAGTTTCGTCGCTGCTGGTCTGCCACCCCGAACCAATGTAACTTCAATGTAAGTGTCAATGGCGTTGCCGGGCATTTCCTTTTGCATTCGCCTTCGCCATGCCTCCCACCGACGAGAAACGCAAGTTGTCCGTGTTTTCTGATACCGAGATCACTCGACTCCTCGCCTCTTTGGTCAGTTTTCAGGACAAGTCTCCCGATGTGTCAATTGAAGGTGACAAGGAGATCATCCACCTCGTCGACAAACTAAGAGACACATTGTCGCAGGTCAAGGTATCAGTCCATTCTCTTGTCCCAGAAACACATACTGACGACTGATGGAAGCATTACCCATTCTCGTCGGCAACTGTTGACACCTTGGAGAGGGCGGGTGTTGTTCGTGTTGTCAAACTCGCCGCCTGACCCCTAAAATATCAACAATCCCACCGCTCTTGCCAAGCACGCAGCACGATACCGTGCTATGCTTGCGGAGGGTGCATGTTGAGCAGGGCTTGGCATGCAGCGGAAAGCCCGCTAGGCTCAGCTTACCTGTGGAGCACTT